TCTTTTCATCCTCTGATCCAGCGGTTCTCAACCTGTGGGTCGCGATCCCTTTGGGGGTCGAACGACCCTTTCACAGGGGTCGCCTAAGACCATCGGAAAACACATATATAATTACATATTGTTTTTGTGATTAATCACTATGCTTTAATTATGTTCAATTTGTAACAATGAAATTGGGGGTCACCACAACATGAGGAACTGTATTAAAGGGTCGCGGCATTAGGAAGGTTGAGAACCACTGCTCTGACCAAATAGTTATATTCCCATTTTACAGATGAGACACAGAGGCCTGTAAAGGTAAAATGACCTAAGGTCATGGGTGGGTAAGTGGCAAGCCCAGGCCTTGACCCCCTAATCCTCACATTGAGTTGCTCTTGAATATAGCAGAGGCTAGGCCAGGCCTCTGAGACCACCAAGTGTACCCCCCCCCATTAAAAGGTTAAGGTATAATATACATACAGTAATATGTACACATCAGAAGTGTACATCCAGATCAAGAGACAGAATTTCCCCAGGAACCTCATCTTGCCCCTTGCAGCCCCATCTCCCCTTGGAGCCAGTGGGTGGTTGTGTCTCCCACAGGCAGTGCCACATCGTAGTTACTTTTTATTTGGTGCAAAGAACACATTAGTTTAATCTTTGCACTGAAAACCCACAGGGAGTGAGCTGGCAGGCACTCAGGGGCTGTGGGCTGTAGTTTGTGACTTCTATCTTCAAGGCTGCTATAAAAACAATTACATGCTTTTAAATGAACCCTCTGGTTAATTAATCATTAACCTGACTTCTAATAGCATACTCCTGATTTTTAAATGAACATTTCTATTGACATATGACGTGGAAAGGTGCACAAATCATCAGCATTGAGCTTGAGCACACGGAGGCCTAACGGAGCAGCGGGCAAGTACTTTGCTCAAAGTTACTTGGCCAATCAGTGGGAGGCCAAGGCTGGACCCCAGGTGGCCCAAGACCCTGCCGGGTGACAGAAGCAGCTGAGCATTTCAGTGGGCACCCTGCCCCTGCCCTTACCCCCACCCTTTTTCACTTCCTCTTGTGAGTCCCTGTGGGCCCGGCAGCTGCCCTGCCTCCCCAAGAGGAGCTCACAGCCTCCTGCAGGTCCATGGGCTAAAGCCAGGAAGATGCTCATGTTTGCACTCTGTGTACCAGGATAGAAGGCATGTTAACGCTTGTAGCATCTGTTCCCAGCACAGTCCCTTTGGCTGGAATTACAGGAATTCTAATCCTGTGGCAAAAAAGAAAATGCCTTTTCTAAAGAAGAAAGGACACCAAGATTTGCCATGTGCCTACTCGGGAGCCGGCCGTGGCCCTTTAGTGCCTTCTTCCCTGTGTTTGCTGTAAGGAAATGCTCTGAGAGCTTGCCCAGAGCCTCCCAGCAGGGAGTGGAACCTGGTTCCGTCCTGTCTGCTGGGTCCACCCACCTAGGCAAACAGTCACATTCCTCAACTGTGATTCTTCACCCCTGCCCTGGGTCCTCAAGTGAGGTCTTTGTTAAGGAGGTAAGGCGAGGCACCATGGTGAGTCATGACCTCCAAAGCGTTATTCTGATTTCATCTGGGAGGTGGCTGTACAGAGACCAAGAAAGATCAGACAGCCTGACCCTGCCTTTCACTCACTTTCTCTCTCCGGGCCTTCATGGCCTCATCTGAGAAACCCAGGTATTAGAAATAAGACAAACGCTGTATAGGGTTGCCAGATTTAGCAAATAAAAATATAAGATGTGCCCTGGTTGGAGTGGCTCCGTTGGTTGGAGCGTTGTCCCATTCACCGGAAGGTCACTGGTTCAATTCCCAGTCAGGGCACATATCCAGGTTGCAGGTTCAATCCCTAGTTGGGGCACATATCTAGGTTTTGAGTTCAATCTCTGGACAGGGTGTATACTGGAGGCAACTGATTGGTGCTTCTCTCTTTCCCTTCCTCTCTCTAAAATCAATTTTTAAAAAATAAATTTAAAAAAAATCCTCAGGTGAAGATTAAAAAAATAAGAAAATGCAAGATGCTCACCCTGGCTGGTGTAGCTCAGTGGTTAGAGTGTCTCCTACGTACCAGAGGGTCTTGTGTTTACTTCCGGTCAAGGGCACCTACCTGTATTTGAGTTTCAATCCCCGGCCCCGGTTGGTGCAGGAGGCAAACTCAATGGAAAAAAATATCCTTGTGTGGGGATTAACAAAAAAAAAAAAATACAAGATGCTCAGTTAAAGTTGAATTGCAGATAAATGATGACTAATTTCCAGTATGAATATGTCCCATGAAGTAATTGGGCATCCTGTATTTTATCTGGCAACCTATCTATAGCCACTTCCAGGTCTAGATTTGTGACTCACTCCAGGAAGATTTATCTCACATTCTAGAGACCAACAGTCACGATCCACAAAAGTAGTAACTGAAGGGAATCAGCAGATTTCGGTGCCAGAATTGCAAAGCCAGGGTCGCTCCGGCCAGTGAGTGGTTCTTGAGTCTCCCACAGGCAGTGCTACACCTTAATTACGTTTTACTCTGTGCAAAGAGCACATGAGTTTACTTTTCTCTTTGCATTGAAAACCTGCAGGCGGTGAGCTGGGTGAGCTGGCAAGCACTCACGGCTGTGGGCTGGTAGTTTATGGCTTCTATCTTCAAGGCTGCTGTAAAAACAATAACAGACAACTTGGCCCAGTGTGTCCTCTCCCCTGGAGATGTTCACGGCTTTCGAGAGGGCTGTGTGGTGTGCAAAGCAGCAGATATCCATCTATCTCACCACGCTCAGAGGAGGGGCGGACCCCTGCAGGAGGAAGTGAGTTTTTATCATTGTCTGTCACCAGAGAGGATCCTGTCACGGCCATTGGTCTGTAGGGAGATTTTTATGCTGGGTGCAAGAAAGAACCTGTTCTACTTCAGGCTGTTGTGCAAATAATTAACAATCTGATATTTTGAAGGGAACATAAACAGAGCCTGATTCAATATGAAAGGGAGGTTTTCACACTCCTGCAAACGTGTGAAAGAGAAAGAACGTTTATACCTAAGCAGTCCTCTGGACCTGACTGAGCTCGTACCATCTTGCCACGCTAAGGGCCCCCTCCCATTAAATCTTCATTTTCCAATTATGAACGGTGTATCTTTGTAACAAATTCAAATGATGAAATGTGTTGCATGTAGAATGATATTGCCCTGAAGCGTGCGGCCAAATCGGCCTAGCTTGGGCGGTCGGCCTCCCAGAGCTGTGGCTTATTAGCACCTGACTCCTCGTAGCTCCAACCCCAGTGAGGTTGCTCTCTTGGGGTGCTGTGAGGGTCCAGTGGGATCATTTCCATCATGAACTCAGCCCAGGGCTTGGCCTCTTATTTTTATACATATATTTATTTTATTGATTTCAGAGAGTAAGGGAGAGAGAGAGATAGAAACATCAATGATGAGAGAGAAGCATTAATTGGCTGCCTCCTGCATGCTCCCTACTTGTGGGGGGTGGGGGGATGGAGCCCACAACCCAGGCATGTGCCCTTGGCAACCCCAGGCATGTGCCCTTGGCTGGAATCGAATCTGGGACCCTTGAGTCCGCAGGCCGATGCTCTGTCCACTGAGCCAAACTGGCCAGGGCAAGGGCTTGGCCTCTTGAAAGCATTAGCGTGGTGCCTATCAGCTGTTACGGTCATGATGACAATGGAATTTAGGTAAGAGTAGCCCCACACCCACAGTTGGGCATCTGTCTGGCTCCCATTCAGACAGGTGTAGGATCAAGCTTCATCCCCCCCTTTCCAAACATTACAGCCCATTTACAGGGAGGGGTTCCTCTCCAGTAAATGCATCTGTAGCCTCTGCTGGGGGCTGGCCCTCTGCCCGGCAGCCCTGATCACAGAGGGAGTGGAGTGGACAGGCCGTCCACACTCCCCAGTAAATCACCCTTGGGAGCACTTCTGCTAGAACAGGCCACACCCACACTGAGGATCAGACTCGGGACCACATTGCCCTGGTGCCTCTGGCAGTCCTAATGCAGTGCCCTCACAGGAGTACTCAGTAGTGATATTAGGACAGTGATAGTGACAGTGATAACGGCAATGACGACAGGAACGACTGTCCTAGACCCTGTCCCAGAGGTTGGGGGCAGGATGCCTGTTCCACAGACGAGCACACTGAGCCTGGAGGGCAGAACGTCAGCACCTCAGACGCAGAGTCAGATGACTTGCCTAAGGTCACACAGCCCCTCGGATACCTGGTTCTCATTCCTCCAGCCACTCCCCAGCCCACTGCCTTGTTCTGTCCTCCTGGGGAGCAGAAGCACAGTGACGAGAGTTACAGCAACGTGCGTTGGGATGAGAAAAGTGGGCTTGCATCAACTCTGCATTTGGGAATTTAAAAACCTGAAATAGAGCCCTAGCCGGTTTGGCTCAGTGGGTAGAGCATCAGCCTGTGGACTGAAGGGTTCAATTACAGTAGCACATGCCTAGGTTGCAGGCTCGGTCCGGTGTGCAGGAGGCAGCCAATCAATGATTCTCATCATTGATGTTTCTATCTCTCCTCTCCCTTACTCTCTCAAATCAATAAAAACATATATTTTTAAAAACCTGAAATGTAATTGCTGCACATAGACATGACCCTTGATGCGATGTTTGCCCGACTCTTGCCCTGCAGTTCCCTGAATCCAGGCTGGGGCCACTCCCAGGTCCTCACCCTTTTGTTTGGTTGTTTTCTTCCTTCCCTGAGGGTTTTGAGATATTTTTTTTGGGGGGGGGGGTTTAAGTCACAAGCTTTGGGGACAAAACCTGTCAGTTCAGGACAATTCTTCTGGGAGGTGGTGCTCCTGAGGATGGCGTAACAAAGAGCCTTCCCGGGCCAGAGAGGTTCCGGGAAAATGGGATCTTACACAAAGCCGTGCTTCGTGTGGCACTGCTGGGAGGCAGCGGTGTTGGGCACAGAGATGTGACCTGTTGACTGCTCTGCCTCTGTCTGCTTCTCTTTCCTGTATCGACTTCTTCTCCTGAAATACTTTGAAGTTTCCCGAAAAGATGCCAGAGCACAGAGTGCTCCTGTCTGCCCAGCACCAGACAGAGGCATGAGCCACGTGTGCGTTACTGGCTCTCTCTGGACCTACTCGTGCGTGTTATGATTTGCTGGCTGACCCGTTTGAAAGTTAAGTTGCAGAAATGAGGACCCTGACCCCAAACACTTCAGGGTTTCCTAAAAGCAAGGACCCCCTCACAGAACGCAGCACAGAGATCGAAGTCAGAGATCGGAACAGCGGTCCTGTACTGTGCGTGGTAGACAGTTGTCTTCCCTCTGACTATTTTATTATTTTCAGACCCACAAGTATGTGCTGAACCTCCATTTCCCAGTGTCAGCAGCAGACAGCACCCCTGCCCTCATCGTACGCCTGCCCTGTGCCATGCGCCACTCTTCTCTGGAGTATTTTACAGCTAAGTCCTGACATTGATTCATCTGTGAGGACTTCATCGTAAATCATTGTTCAATCCTCGGGATGGGATGTGATGGAAAATCTCTTGAGTGGGCTGTGACCAATACTTAAAAAGAAAAAGAGAGAATAGACCATAAAATCAAAGTGCGCTGTGCAGACCGTGTGTACAAGGCTGTGATGTTAAGAGTCTTTCTTATGGTGGCCACCAGGGTTCCTGGGTTTATTTGTGGATGATCTGAGCTTGGCTGCAGGACCCCTGAGGGGGAGACGCAGCCTGGGGAGGGTTGGGGAGAGAGAGGTCAGGTCTGTGCTACCACCCACCCCAAAGCCCTGCCTTTGGAAGTATGGGCTCTAGGGTCCAAAGTGCTGGGCTTGAACCCTGGCCCCACCACTTGCTACCCATGACCTTGTGCGCATTAACTAACCTCTCTGTGCTTCAGTTTCCCCATCTGTAAAGAGGTGATCGAAATGGTCCCAACCTCACGGGGCTGTTGTGAGAACTGATTGACCATGAATCTCTGTCAGGGCTGGGCACACAGTGAATGCTCAAGAAAGGTGCCCGTTGTCCTTGCAGGTCTGGCCGTGGCTCTCTCTTCCGCAGGCCCCAGCCCATCCTCTGGCCCTGAGAAGGAGAGCTTCCTTAGCATCGCATCCTCCACATTAGAATCCCTTCAAGAGCTTTTCTTTTCTTTTTTTAAAAATATATTTTTATTTCAGAGAAGGGAGAGGGAGAGAGAGAGAGAAACATCAATGATGAGAGCGAATCATTGATTGGCTGCTTCTTTCACGCCCCCTACTGGGGATCGAGCCTGCAACCTGGGCACGTGCCTTTGATGGGAATCGAACCTGGGACCCTCCAGTTGGCCAGCTGACACTCTATCCACTGAGCCACACCAGCTAGGGCCCTTCGAGAGCTTTTACAGTGCCCGGCCGCACCTCAGGCCAATTACTCTGTATCTCTGGGATGGGACCCAGGCACCATATTTTTTAAAAGCGCCCAGGTGATCCCGCTGTGCCGGGAAGATGCGGCGCTTAGCCTTTCAGTGGTAATGAGCTTCCCCTGGGTCTTGTAGAGCATCTCCTGAGCCCTCAGGAGGGGTGTGGGTGGGGCCTGAGAGCCTGCCTTTCTCACAGGCTCCCGCAGTGCCCACACTGCTGGTCCGGGACCACACTCTGAGGACTGAGCCCCTGGAGAAAAGGCCCCGCCGGAGACCACTACCTCCCTTCCCTCCATCACTGTCCTGAACAATAGCAGCTCACACTTCTTGGACTTCTCTATGCCCAACACAGGGTGAGGCCCTTTAACAGCCATCACCCCTGACGTTTAGCTCTCGCTGCTACTTGAGGCTGCAAGTGCATCGGCCCCATTTTAAAGATGAGAAAAGTGGAGTCTGGGATGGTTAAGGAACCTGCCTGTGGTCACATGGCTGAGCCAGGCTCTGGTCCCAGCGAGAAGAGCTACCGCTTCTAAGCAGGGAACTCTTCCTTCCATACACGGCTGTCCGGAGGCTTTCCCCATCCTTTTCTGTCTGTCTCTCTGCCCTGCCCTCGCAGTATCTTTCTCCCTCCCTCTCTCCCCTCTTTCTCAGTCTCCCTGACTCCATCTCCTGGTGCATGTTTCCCGTACCTGCCCCACACATCTCACCTGGCTGAAATGGAAGCCTCTATCCTAGCCCCTCCTCCACACCAGCCCCCTCTGGGGTCCCACCATCTCCCAAGCCTGTGTGTCACCTGGACTTCCAGCTGCTTCTCCCTCCCATTGCCCTGCTGGCTTTGAAGTTCAGGCTCCACATTTCTGGGCCAGAGCAGAGCTTCTCCGACCTTCACAAACACACAGATCCGAGGGGGCCTTGTTAAAATACTGATTCTGGCTCAGTGTGTCTGGGTGGGCCTGCGATGCTGCATTGCTAACAAGCTCCCAGCGGTGCCGAGGCTGCTGGCCCAGCAGCACCACCCATGAAGCAATGTTCTAGAGCACCTGGTGTTCCTAGCTGGCCCCTGGCCCACACACACTCCTAGAATGCAGCCTCGCTGCTTGGTGCCCTCACAATAACCTCTGAACCCTGTCACCAGCCCCCAAAGCCCTCAAGGTGCAGCTCATCTTATTCCTGCCCCGACCTCCCACCCTCTCGTTCCTCCCATGGACCACGCCCTTCTTATCCTCTGGACCTTTGCACATTCTGTTCCTGGGGCCTGAGAGGCTGTTCCCGGCTTGTCCCACTCCTGCCTACCTTTAGAGACATGTTCCTCAGGACTCCCAGACTGGGGCAGGAACCTCCTCTGTCCCCGTCCTCACTCTGCTTCCCCTGGGCTCACCATGCCTGCCAGGTCTAGTTTGTGTGTCTGTCTCCCCTGCTGTTCTGAACAACCTAGATTCTGGTGTGGTGCCTCATTGGGCCTTACATCCACCTGTGTGGGCCCCTCTTTGATGGGGAATGTGTAGGAAATGGGGATGGGGATGGGAGGTCAGACACCAGGGAATGAGGGAGGATGGGAAGGTGGAGGTCACCCAAGAGTGGTTGGTAAAGCGAGTTGCCGTCAGGGGCACCTGCCTCAGATCCCAGCTTCTGGCAGGAGGAGCAGTCGGGGGATCTCAGAGCAAGGGGCTGGGGCCCTCGCTGGGCCACACATCTGTGTCAGAGATCTGAGGGGCACTTCTCATGGCCACCCTTCACCCCTCTCCGCTCATCAGCCTGGCATACAGGGGGCTCCCTGTGGATGAAGGGGTGAGCTCCCCCCCCCCCCCCCCCCCCCCCCCCCCCCCCGAGTCCTCCAAAGTGGAAACAAGAGCCTCGCCTTCCCAGGAAGGCCTGCAGAGCCTCAAAGGCCCCAGTGGGGTGGGCCCCGGCCGGGGATCAGGGCAATCCCGGGTTAGAACCTCAGCTCCACTCTTCGTAAGCTGGGTGGCCTTGGGCAGGTGACACCACTCTCTGAGCCTTGATTTCCACGTCTGTAAAATGGGGGCAGAAGTAGCACCTCACAGGGTTGTGGCGGAGGATTGAATGTCAAGAGCCCTGCCAGCGGCTGCCTCTATTCATCGATTACTCCGAACACAGGAGGCATCACATTGCAGGAAGATTGTGGGAACTCTGGTTGGGACAGTTTTCATGCTCTTGGACGGGAGGCTCACACCCCTGACAGCTTAATCCGTTACATTTCCAAGGACTCTGCATGTAGAAGGGGAAAACCCGTCACGGTGGGCTTCGGGCCCCCCCGCGGCCTGGCTGAGGGCCCTCACTTCAGGAGGCCCTTACTCACCATGAAGCCAGCCAGCATCTGTGGCCCCTGAAAGGAAAGACCAGGTGATGTGGGTTCCGCATTGTCAGCCCCAACCACGCCCTCACCGTCAACTTCACCGAGACCGCAGCCGCCTCCAGTATATTTAGCTCTGAGGCGCCTGAAAGTTTTTTCCGCCAGCACAGACTCAGCTTTGAGCAAATTCAGCCCAGATGTAGTCAGCAGGCGCTGCGACCCGGAGGCCTAGGTTTCTCTCCCCACTACTTCCTGTTGTGCACCCATCAGGGCTGGGGGGGGGCTGGGCACACGTGGCCAATACAAACAAGCCTCTCCTTTCTCCACAGGCAGGCGGAGGCGGAGGCGTCGACATGGGGCTTAAGCTGTCCTGTCTGAAAGGTAAGGTGGGCGGCTCTCCCTCACCAGCTCTGATGTGGGTGAGAGGGTGTGGCAGTGGGGGCGTGGGAGGGTAAGCTGAGCCCCTAGTGTTGCAGCCGTGGAGAGGGAGGAGACCCTCCCACTGAGCAGCACCTGCACACAGTAGGCACCTTTAAGTGCTTGCTCTGACTTTGAGGGCTCCTCCAGGCCTTTCCTTTCATTGGCAGTTGAGTGACCTGGGAACGTCGCAGCGCCCCCTGGGCCTCAGTTTCCTTCTCAGAGGCATGAATCCCAGGCTGTGGGGTGGAAGGGAGCAAGAGGCTCTAGAAGTGGGTGCCAGGCATGCACGGGGTATTTGCTCTCCACCCGCTGGCCTGTTATCACCGAGATAACAGGTTCAGCCTGCCAGAGGCTGGGGAAGGCAAGTTGGAAGAGGGGGAAAGCCAGCAGGGAGAAAGTTCTAGAAGGACACAGAATCACTGAGAAGTGTTGAGGTGTTGGCAGAGGCAGCCCAGATCTCTCTCCTGTGCTCCAGACCTTTCTGTTCAGAGTCTGAAGGACCCAGGGGCACCCAGACCAATAGGGCCCACATGGAGACCTCCCCTCAAAGCCCGTTCGTTATTGCACAACAAATGCTCCCACCCCACGTCTCCCCAGCCTGGAACCTGGGAGTCTCCCTGGTGGCCCCTCACCCACATGCAGCAGGCTCAGCAGCCCTGACTCTCCTCCTGGATGTCTGGGGCCGACCCTGGCTCCTTCCCTCCGACACAGGAAGTCAGGAGGCTCGGAAGGTCAGGCCAGGACGAAGGGCCATATCCTTCAGGTCCCACAGCTGGGATGAGTGAGCTCAGGAGAGCCTCTGGTTGGTCCAGCTCAGGGCTCCCGCCTGTCCTTCAGTGGGGGGATGGGGTGGGGAAGACAACTTGATGGACAGTGCCTCCCCGACTGGGGGCAAGTAGGGAGCAGTGCTTCCCCTGGAGAAAATCAGGGTGTTGTTTGCAAAATGGGCATGGGGTGCTAGAGAGTCCTAGACAACCACGTCCCTCCAGGGCCTGGTCCCTCTGAGGCTCCAGGCTGAGCCCAGGCAGGAGTTGGGGGCGGTGCTTGCTGAGTGAGTATCCATGGGGGATGCAGGTCCAAAGGTGGGTCCAGAGACCAAACCTAAGAGTCCAGGACCCTCTTCCTTAGACTTCACTGGGTCTCCCCAGTGCCTGGCACAGAGTAGGTGGTCAGAATACACTTTTTGTTTCTGTTTTTATTGTAGCAAAATATACCTAACCTACGTCACCGCTTTAACTGAGTGTACTGTTCAGTGGCATTGACCACATTCACGTGGTTGTGCATCTACCTCCAGAACTTTTCCATCTTCCCAAACGGAGTCTGTCCCCATTGAAAACTAACCCTATCCCCGCTTCCCTGAGCCCCGCTACTCCCATCCTAGTTAGTCTCTGGATTTGCCTGCTCTGGGGACTTCACATAGGGAACTGTGCAGTGTTTGTCTCTCTGTGACTCGGCATAACGTCCTCAGGGTCCAGCCATGTTGTCGCGTGTGTCAGAGTTTCCGTTATAAGGCTGAGTAATATTCCGTGCATATGGACCACAGTTGGTTCATCCGTTCATCCCTCAATGGACCCCAGGCTGCTTCCACTTTGGGCTGTTGTGTCAGGACATCTTTGACAAAAACAAGCCCCGAAAGGAACCTCTGGGGCCACTTCTCTTCCAGCCCAAGGCAGGCTGGGGCCTCAACCTGGGGAGAGACCCGGGAGTGCCGATGCTGAGAGTCCCTGGGAAACGGCCCCCACCCTCCACCCCACCCGGCCCTGAGAGCCCAAGCAGCACGCTGAGTGCTCCTGGGCTGCGAGCTTCTAAAAGGGCTCCTTCCGGCCGGGCCCTGGAGGAGCTAAGTGCGGGAACTGCAGGAGCAGGGCAGGCAGGTCTGCTCATACATTTTTCATGGCTAGCCCTCTGGGGCCGGCCCACCAGCCCTCCCCTCAGCCTCGGCCAACACAGGCTTGGGCGTGCCTGGGGGAGGGCCAGGCACAGAACCCCTCTGTGCTAAACCGAGACAACCCAGCCCGTTAGCCCTGAGACCCCAACATTCTCTGCAGGGTCTTGTTCTCACTTTCCCCGTAAGGAATATGTCACATGGGAGGAAACCTCAGCGTGCTGGGCACCCCGCAGCCCTGTGACCCTCACGGTTGGCCATGGGCCTTTCCTTACCTGGCTGCCAGCAGGTATGGTTTTACCTGGTTGTTGGCACTGGCACGTGCAGTTCTGTGCACCGTCTTTTATTTCTTTTTTGTTTGATGTTTCGGTGCTAGTGCTATTTTTCCCAAGGCGGCGTCATTTTCACAGTTCTTTAATGCCTGTATCGGGTTCTGTCAAGAGTTGGTTTTGAGGCCCTGGCCGGTGTGGTTCAGTGGTTGGAGTGTCGGCCTATGCACCCAAGGGTTGTGGGTTCAATTCCTGGTCAAGGCCATGTACCTGGGTTGCAGGTTCAGTCCCCAGCCTCGGTCAGGGCATATGCGGGAGGCAACCAATCGATGTGTCTCTCTCACATCGATGTGTCTCTCTCCCCCTCACTCCCTCCTTACTTTCTCTAAAATCAATGGAAAAAATGTCCTTAGGTGCAGATTAAAAAAAAAAAAAACTAAAACAAAAGAAGAGTTGGTCTTCGGGTTGTTTCCAACTTGTTGCTTTTGTAGATAATGCCATTTTGAACATCTTTGCTTTTTGTCTTTTTAAATTATTTCTTTGGGATAAGTTCCAGCAATCAGAATCCAAGTTAGCAATTAGGATAAATGCTGAATTCTTAATGGGGGGCTCAGCCTGGGCAGGGCCCTGTTCTCTGCATTCCATGTGAATGACTCGTCCGCCCCTTCTCCCATCATAAAGTGGGTATTATTGTGATTCTCAGTTCCCAGATGAAGCAGCTGAGGCACAGAGAGGCAGTGCAGTTTGCCTGGGGCCACACAGCTGGTACCTATGTGGGGTTTGAACACAGGCAAATTGGTCCCAGAGGCCTGGTGTCAGCCACCACACATACAGCTTTTTCAGAGGAAAAGGTTTTCTGTTTGTTTGTCTGACATATATATATATGTATATATAATAATAAAAGCATAATATGCTAATTAGACCAGATGTCCTTCCAGATGACCTTCCAGACAAAGCTGGGGATGTAAGTAAGGGATGCTGGGGTCCCGGGTGCCAGAGGGAAGCTGGTGCCAGCAGCCCGGGGAAGGAAGGCCTACTCTTGCATGAATTTTCGTGCATCGGGCCTCTAGTATACTGTATATATAATTGATTTCAGAGAGGAAGGGAGAGGAAGAGCGAGAGATAGAAACATCAATGATGAGAGAATCATTGATCGGCTGCTTCCTGCACACCCAGAGGAAAAGGTTTTCATTTGACTTTTAAAGTAGCCACTATAGAAACTTCATCCACACAAGCTCTTAAATCTTCACTTTAACCCTATTAGATGGTGTCTTAGTGTCCCAGGCTTGCAGTAACATAGGGGCGGGGGAGGCTTAAAACAACAGGAATGAATTCACTCTCAGTTCTGGAGGCTAGAAGCCCTAACTCCAGGTGTCCCAGGGCCATGCGTCCTCTGAAGGCACTTGGGGAGGGTCCTTCCTGCTCTCCCAGCTCTGGGGCTCCGGGCATCCCTTGGCTTGTGGCCACATCACCCCAGTCTCTGCCTTTGCCTTCACATGAGCGTCTCCCTGTGTTTCTATGTCCTTTCTCTGATGAAGACGTCAGTCTTTAGACTTAGAACCAGTATTAAATCCAAGATGATCTCATCACAAGATCCTTAACTAATTACATCTGTAAAGACCTTATTTCCAAATAAGGTCACATTCTGAGGTTCTGGATGGACTTGAATTTTGAATTTGGGGGGAACTCTACTCAGCCCACTACAAGTCACTTCTCCGCTGAGCCTCCTGCGTGGGGGACGGAATGTGCTTCCCTGCCTGGCAGTGAAGACTCAGGCGAGGTGGGAGGTCCATAGGCAGTGACCTTGGAGAGAGGAATACCAGGAAGCCTGGATACTTTTGTTTCTGGTTCCAAAGGAGAGTGGGCACTTAAAACATTTCTTTTTACATATTTTAAAATGTTTTATTGATTTTTAGAGAGAGCGGAAGGGAGAGGGATAGAGAGATAGAAATATCAATCGGCTGCCTCCTGCATGCCCCCTACTGGAGATTGAGCCCTCAACCTGGGCATGTGCCCCGACCAGGAATCAAACTGTGACCTCTTGGTGCATGGGTCAACACTCAACCACTGAGCCACACCAGCCAGCGAGAGTGGGCACTGTAAGTGGGGTCCTTCTGCTCAAGGGCCTGGCCATAGCAGCCATGATGTATCGGAACGTTCCACGGTCCAAGAGCACCTCCTTTGTGTCCAGGCTGGCACCTGCTGGGTGGGCATCCCTGTGAGCCTGGCACTGCTCCCCAAGCATGTGCCCCCAGTTTTCTCATTTCATCCTCAATAAAGTTGGACGACGTAGGTACTTTCACAGACAGGGAGACTGAGGCATAGGGGAGCTCTCACTGGCTCAAGGTCACATGGCCTTTCTGGAGACACTTGGTTCAGCAGATGGCAGGGAGGGGTGGTGGAGTCCCTGGTTCCTAAGCACGTTCTCTGCCGTCAGCAGCAGGTGGCACTGCTCAGGACACAGCGCGTGGTTCTCAGGGGCATCCTCAGACTTGCACCCTGCGCATCACCTGGGAATGAGACATGCAAATTCTCGGGACCCACCCTGTCTTACTGAGTCTGAGGTGCTGGGGGTTGTTAACAAAACCTAGGGGGATTCTGGCGCCTACTAAAGTTTGAGAACCGCTGGTAAAGTGGCTCAGAGGTCAGAGATGTCTGAGTTCAAATCCCCTTCTGCCCTGACTAATTGCAACCTTGTACAACTCACTTCACATGCCCAAGCCTCAGTTTCTCCGTCTGTAAAATGGAGTGATGAATGGGAACATCTCCAGGGCCAGGTTTCAAGAAATATCTGAGATGAGCACTAG